CTATGGCTTACCATACTTACATTATTCTGAAAACTCAGTATGAGAAAGGAGTACTTACTAAGCTTTTCAAGTTGTTTGCCTCCTTCTGCAGACACACACAAATTGATTAAAGATTTGGGTTAATCTAAGATTATCACAGGAAGCAAACATGACGGTTGGTAGCTGAGAGTTTTATATCCAGATCGACAGGCAGCAAGTCAGAGTAGCACTGGGACTGGCCTTGGCTTTTGAAATCTCAAAGCCCACCCCCAATGACACATTTCCTCCAAAAAGGCCACACATCCTTCAGTAAGGCCACACTTCCTAATCCTTTCCAAACAGTTCTACTGATTAGGACATTTAAATATATGAGCATTTAAATATATGAGCCTATGGGGACACTCTCATTCAATCTGCCACAAAACTCCTCTGTCTAAAACCCTTCAGTAATGATTCCAGCTGTGCCTACTTAACCACAGATGGGTTTCTTAAATGTTAGTATTCCTTTAAGAAAGGAGGAGATAGGCAAATTCACTGGAGCCTCATGTGAATATCCAATCACTCCTCTCAGCTGGCTATATGTGATTAGGACTGACCTGCATGAGATCTCAAGGTTTTCTGGAGAAACTAGAGTAGTTAGGGTAAAAACTATGAATGGGTGGGGGCCCGTGTATGCAACAATGAAAAAGCTGCTATATACTATGTAAAGTATATATATATATATATAAAGATATTGCTTAACCTCCTTAGGAAATTTTTTTTTACAAGAAATGGAAGTTTATTTGTTACTCTTATATCTCAAAGTATTTGAGTATTTATTTATTTATTAAGTATTTCTTTATTTATTTTAATCAGAAAGGTTTATGTAACAAGGTTAAAGTAGCTAAATGTAATTTCAGATGTTTAAATACTTGCTCCCTTCTTGGTTCTTGTTTACAAAAGCGTTCCCCCATTCAAAGTCACATGTATCTTTAAAGCTCTTGCTGAAATTTAAATTTTCTTCCTCTCAGGATCTGTAAGACAATCATTGGAGGACAAAGGGAGAGAATTTTTTTTAAATATCTGTAAAATTCTAATTGAAAAAAATTATTCAAAACTTACAACAAAAAGGTTTGATAGTTAATGGTGTACAGATATTCTTAGTTTGCTACAGTATGCCATTTATAGAGCTTGAATTCAACTCCTTTTCAGAGAAATAAAATTTAAAAATAAATACAAAAATGTCTTATACATGGCTATATTTTTCATTAAAAGGATAAAATATATTTTGAATAAAGATGAATTTTTTATGATAAAATAAAATTATATCCAAAAATGGGACTTCAGGATGATATACGTTTGATGATTAAAACTTATCAATTCCTAAGTTTATAATGGTCTATTCATGCTATTTTTTTTGCTACTAACAAAAAATTAGTTCAAGATGTACGTCTAACCACTTTGATAAATTTGTTAAGCTTTAACTATTTGGAGAAACTGAACATGTAAAAAACTATGGTAAAAATTAATTATATACCTTTTATTCTTATAAAAATCTCCTTATAAGATGGAATCTTTCCTCTCCTGCAACTATATTATGATAAAATGAGCTACTTAGTATGAAAGATATTTTAAATTGTACTATAAAAGGATCAGGAAAATGAGTTTTCCAGTTTCCTCATGGACTGTATGTATGGTTTAAAATGTATTTTGGCACTAAAGGAGCTCAATTCAAAATTATAATCTTAAGTATTAAAATCTTAGCAGATAAAATTATAAAATCCTCATTTTATGAGAGTTGCTGGTTTATTAAAAGCTTGCAACAAAGATAATTAAGATATAGATGTAATTACCAACCACCTTATAACTGATTAAATATCTTTAATGTGCCCAAAAGTTGTTTGTAATCACACTAAGCACAAATGTAACTCATATACACAGACAAGATTAGAGGGAGAATACAATTCATATCTCCCATTATGTAGTCTTCTGTATACGTCATGAAACTAAAGCCTAAAGCAAGTTACTCAAAACAAGTTTAAAACAAGTTTGTTTAATAAAACAATATTCAAAAATAGGTGTATTAAAAAAAAACTGGTAATAGAAAATTCAATGCTTGAATAAAATGGGTTACATTTATATACATTTACATGACAACACATTCCCAGGCTCAGGTAGTATCCTTTTCCTTGAATAAATACAGACCCTATCAGAGTAAATTTCATGCTAGCATCATTACAGGAAAAACAAGACTTGTCAGAGTCTCAGGGAAAAACAGCCGAGGTGCCTACTTAGGATATCAAAACAGACCTGGCTGCCTTTTTCTCCCTACATCCTTCAGTCTCAACCTCTTATAAGGTATGGCTGCCCAACCTGGGCCCCTACCCTATACCCTAATGGCTGGGCTGTCCTTCCTCCAGCTGTTCTTCCCTATATAAGCCAACTATTTTAGATTATTTAAATATTCTGGCCCTTTAGTCTATTTGGTTTTTCTGCTTCCTGGCTGCTACACCTTGTGTCTGCCCCCCCCCCCCCCGTCATGCCTCCTCTGGATTCTCCCACATGTCCCTGCCTCTGGGCTATGCTCTCCCACATATCTATAACAAGCTTTCCCCTCCACCACAGCTAGAACAGTTATTTCTTTTCTTTTTCTTTTTTTCCCCCATTCGCTGGTGTGCAGAACTGACCAGCTCCAGCTGTGTAGGTCAGAACAAGGAAAACTTCCTTATTCATAAGGAAGATGCATTCTTCCTCATGTCTCACATGACAAGGAATGGGGTTTTCTCACCCAGTAGAGTATCTTACAGTTTACACCCACATCCTAAATACTTAAAGCAACAGAGGCAAAAAGCAATTACTCTCCACTCAGTATCTCCTGAGCTGACATACCTTGACTTTCAACTCTTCTCTTTGCAAAACCTAAAATCCTCAGGGCTAAGAGGTAATTACCTGATTGTGTAGGAAGTCCCCAAGAAAGTTTCAGATAATGTAAGACAGAGCCTCTGCCACAGGGTGGGACAGCATGGGAGCTGAGCTATGGGCATTCATTTAAACACTAAGCTGCTGGTGCCATGCCTGGGTAAGGAGGGAAGACCTGGACTATGAAAGTGGCCCCAGATGGCCTCTCTGGGTCACCTCCTAGAGGTGACAGAGACATCTTCTTCAGCACTGCTGCCACTGGAAGCCAACAGGCGACACTTGGAGATAAGGATCACTGTGGTCTCTCCTCCCTTTGTTCTCATGGCAACATCAGCTAGAATGCTGCCCATAGGACTTGCCACAAAGGCTCCCTAGGACTGGAGTCTGCACACAATTTTACTAACTGCTATATCTGATCTAATGGTCGGACCCTGTTTAATCAGCTGGCTGTTAAACTTTGTCAAACAACAAATAGCTTGAGTTAAATTAATGATTCCAAGGTACCAGTGCCTGCTCCTTCATAAAATCCAAAGATCTAAAAGAAACACAAAGGAGGGATGAAATAGCTTAGGAAAAGTCAGGTTGTCCTGATCCCTGACCCCCATCCCACACTTTCTTCCCTTGGGAGCCATGTTTACCAGAAAACAGATGTCGTTTCTCTCCCTTTGGTAAAGAGCTTTTCAACACCTGAAGGACCTTCCTTCCCTGCTGAGGAAGCATTCTGATATGTAAAAACAACTTGGTTCCTCTGGAAGAAAGGCCATGTGTGATGATTTACTAGATCAAAGGTCACACTATAGAGATACTTGTAGCCTACACCAGGAGTGATGGTCATTGAAGCCTTTTCACTTTTAAAACCCCTTCTTTCCTTTGTATCTGCACCAGCAGTCTTTCTCAGGCATGAGCCTCCTCTTGGGCAGCTGGCTAGAGGACTCATATACTCTCGACTGGTTTAATAAGGTGAAGTGACCTGTAACTTTTACATGGATTATTTCAGGTTTTGACTCTAGCAACTAAGAGGAAGGAAGAAAAGCACAACACCAACACTCTTTGCTTGGGGGAGGGAGATACAGCCATCTAGGCATGGTTACCTATGTCAAAAGAGGGTGTAGCCACAGCCCAAGGGAACAGATGATGCCCAGACACTAAATGCCCAAGCCTGATCAAGGACCTGCCGGTTGTGAAAGGATCTATGCTTTAAAGGAAAAAGCAAAACAAAACTCTTTTGTGCAACACTTGGAGTCCTTCCTGATTTCCTTATTCAAACAGTTGTCAACAGAAAAATGCAAACTCTCAGAGAACAATTCAAGTATTCTTGTTAATTCCACATAAGGTTGTAAGTGTTAAAACATCTATAAAGTTAGAATTTTAAAGTCATAGAGGCTTTCGTCATGAAGAGTATGTGATGATTTAGCTGCATTTACTGGAGGACATGATCAGTACAAGCAAGCTGAGTAGATGAGTAGAAGAAACACTTGGTGAATTTTAGAAAAATTCCCTTTGCAGTGCTGTGCCATTCCTGGCATGTGACATGCACCTTAGCTATCCAGCTTATCCCGAAGGACTTCCAGGGGCCTCTCTGAGAACTAAGACTTATACAAGCCAACTCTCTAAATGACAGTCTGCCTCCCACCCTTCTCTTAATGTGTGATCTGATAGATTTCATACCTTCCCCAGACCTCTGTGAGGAGCTTGGAGAGGGTTGAGAGTGCAAGGTGGCTGCCTTGAAAGCTAAGGCAGTAGACACAGGTGTGGGAAGACTTTCAGACAACAGAAACTTTGTCACAAATCTGTCCACTGAGTCTGATTCCTCAAGACAATAATCCCCAGCACCATTTCAAAAACTGGAATAAGAAGCTGTTCAAGGTTGGGGCTGTACCTCTCCAAGCTCTTCTTACCCTGACAGTCCCTATGGAGACAGGAAATGGTTCTGTAAACTCCCACCTCAGCAGCCCTGGAGGAAGTGAGGCCAGATGTTCCTTAAGTCAGCCCAGGCTATCCCAAAGACCTAAATGGTAGCATTGGAAATGAGGTTGTAACTAGGCAGACAGTGGGCCCAGTGCTTGAGGACTGGAGGTAATACTAGGAAATGATGCTCAGAACAAGAAAGAATTGAAACCTACCAAAAATACCACAGTCTCTGTATGGAGAGGGCCCGCACACAGCACCTGGAGCCACAGCAGTCTTCATAGGAACGGCATCTGCAGGAGAGAGGGCACAATTCTGGGTAAAAAACAAAGGGGGGGGGTGGTTTTTCTCATCATGTGGTTCCATTCAGATACACTATAAGCATAAGCATTATTAGAAAAAAAATCAAAATGGATTCCTTCTGGGGAGTCTTTCAGACCAGAAATGGATATTAAATGTATCAGACCATCTTCCAAGGAATCTCTGCATCAGAAGGGTACTAACAACAACTTGTCTTATCTGTCTTTAATCTCTGGCCATTGGAAAGGTGGGAACACCTCCATATGCCCTTACAAGTTAAAAGCAAAGATTATAGAGTCAAGTTAAATGAGGGGGCTTAGTTCTGGTCTAGGTATCAACTAGATATGTGATTTCTGATATTAAACTCTATCAGCCTCAGCTCCTTTAATAGCAATACAGAATGATGGGGACCCTTTAAATGCTAATTTAAGGACTTCATCTTGATATAAAGACTAGATCTGCTCAGACTCCCTCCTTCTACAGAGTGTACCACATACCTAAGGCCTCTGGCAGTACCCAGACTCATGAGACATATTCCTAAGCTGTATTCATCTAGAAAAGTCACCCAAGAAAGTCCCTGGGGCTGAGATCTATTGTAGGCCTGAGATGACTCATGAAACTTCTTCAGTATTTCATCTCCCCCTCAACCATGTCAGCACTTTTGGGTAACTAATGTTACAGAGGATATTTTCTTGTATAAGTTTATAGGTATGGGAGGAGAGGAATTCTTAAGGGAGATACTGGACTCTTAGTGTTAGGGTGGGTGGAAATCAGACAACTATAAACTAAAGAGATGGGTCTGGTTCCTATCATAGATTTACAAAGATGAACATTCTTAGCATTTATGTTAGTGTACTAAGTGTGGAAGGCAGAACTCAAGATAGCCCAGGTCTCACTCTCTGTGTGTATATATATATATGTATATCTACATACTTCTCCCTCCAGTGCAGACAATCCTCTACGAAAAAATGGGATGTCCAATTCACAAGACTGGATATACTTCTAGTGACTTTGAAGAAGAGATGCAGGTATGGGAAAGCCATGTGGCATGAATATGAGATCTGAACACTGTGAACAACCCCAAATAAATTGTAGCCCCATAACCACAAGGACCTGCAATCTGTTAATGACCAAACAGAATCTACGACTCCAAGTGCTGGAGGAGAGTTCAGTTGAACCAATTTCATGGTTTCAGCCCGGTGAGACCATGAGCAGAGAAACTACTTTAGTGTTGCTCACTCATGATCTATACAGACTAAGGTAATACATACATGGTGTTTCAACCAGGAAAGCCTGTAGCAACTTGTTACAAAATAACAGAATAAATAAGAGTCAAAGTTATAGGATATAACCACTTACAGATAACGATTTAGGTGGTTTGCCAAAGTCTAATAAGCATATGCAAATGCAAACAAAATAAGACTTAAGGACTAATGTAGCACCTCTTGGCTATAGTGACTGTCTGGTGACAGCAAGAATGAACTTGGCTAGTACGATGCCTAATCTTAATGGTTAACCTGATAAGAACTGAAGGCAAACATCTGGGTTTACCTGTTTTTAAGGACATTTCTAAAGAGGTTTAATTGAATCAGGGAGACCCATGCAAAACATCAATGGTCCACTTCATGGGCTGTGGTCTCAGACCCTCCAAAAAGTGAAAGTGCATGTAGGACCTACATTAACTGCCCTCTGCTTCCTGACTGAGGTGAAATGTAACCCACTGCCTCATGTTCCTAAGCAACAGGTCCAGCCATGCTCACTGCAATGATGGTGAAATAAACCCTTCCCCACTTATCCTCAACTGCTTTTGTCAGGTTTTTTTTTCTTTCACAGCAACAAAGAAAAGTAAGCTAGGAGGTTAGTAGTTTTCTAAAATACTAGTACTTTGAACCCAAACACTAATGATGAGCCACCTTCTTGGTTTTCATTTCCCTCTTTGTCCTCAGTCCTTCTGCTTGGAAACTAAGAAGATAACTTGAAGGCAGCACAATAACCCTTACATAAATGGCTGGAGGACTCTGAGCCCATAGACAGGAATCAGCAACTAAAACTATGCTTTGATAGGGGTTCTTGGTTCAACTTGGAACTTGGCTAGAAAGGGTCCCAGAGAAGACTACAGCATTTATGTTAAGAGCTTGCTATGTTTGGCAAGCAAAAAAAAAAAAAAAAAGTTAATGGACTGATGAAATACAATGACTGACAGGTGACACAAGGTACAGACAGGCATGGTGTTGGCTTGGGATGAATCGGCAATGTACTTACAGTAAGTATTTTCCAGCTGCTAAATCTCTAGGGGGGATTATAACTAATGCTGTGAAGGTGAAAATTGCTTCAAAAAGGTCAGAAGTTCTCTTTTATGAAAATTATTTTCTGCAACAGACTTTTGTTGTTGTATACAATAGCCTGTGCCATAAAGCCTATTTTTCATAGCTACTGTTGGGAAAATCACAAACAAACAAACAAACAAACAAAACCTGGGTATGCTGAAAGTGCTGTTAAACAGCCACTTAACCTAAGCCCTGGTATTGTACAGGGAAACAGGGAGAGAGATAATCTTATCTACATATTTAGAGTTCCTTGCCTAGAATTTTAGGAACTCTTATGTATTTAATATTTAAATATATGGGAAATTATTACCTGTATTTGTTAATATAACATACACACCACTTAGTCTGAAAATGTGTCTATCCCAGAATACCATGCACATAGTGGGTTATGAAATCTTAACTCAGATTCTTCTTTTTAACAAGATTCAACATCCAAGCCCAAGTTAAGTTTCCAGGAACCAGTTTAGAAATATCAGCAGCAAATACACATTGTCAAATGACTGTCTATTTTCTTCCTTTAAAACTCAAAGCATTCATTATGGCCCCTTCAGTTAGACACCCATTTATTCTTAAGCATCCTTAAGGCTTCTCTGCACTCTGGCCTGACTCTCAGGGCTAGATGCTGGCAAATGCTAGCCATTCAATGAACACAAGATTACTCAGGGGTTAGTACTCGCATCCCTTTTCCTTCACTGCTTTCTTCCAGTAAAGCTGACAGTGTACTGTGGACCTAGACACACCCTGCTGCCATTTCAAATAGCTGCAATTATAAACAAAATGTTAACCACAACTTTGTGCTTAATTAACAGAAAATAATACTGGGTGGTATAATATACAAATAATCCCATCATCTAATACACTCCAAGTACCCAATGCCTAAAAAAAAACCATTTATGTTCCAAAGGAAGTCATTAATACTAAACTGGATATACAGCAGATGGTGATAACAGAATGGATTTTCCATCTCGTTCTCTTTGTGTACCAGCTACACAGATTCTCAGACTAGCAGCAGAAAATAACATTATTCTTACCCAAACTCACCTATCAGCACTTATAATTAATGGTTCTGGAACTTCTGCTTGTCAGAAATGGACAACTAAAATTGCTTTCTGTTACCCATGTGCTTCTCAATGCATTCTGGGATCCAAATGCAGACTTCCAATTAAGGTCAGAGTGGGACATATTACCCTGAGCAAGTGTCAATTTGTACTTTAGTATATTCCAAAGAAAACACCTGAGAGTGTCTCTGTCTCTCTCTTCCTCTCTCCCCCTCCCTCCCTCCCTTCCTCCCTCTCTCTGGATCAATGATAAGTGACATAGTCTTTAGGGTGAAAAATGTGAAAAGAAGAATAAGTCTGGGTACTTGTGGTCCATAAGTTTGTAGTGTGTGCCAGCGGCAGTCTAATAATATAAAAATGAGGTGTTCCCTCTGCCAATTTTTAAAAATGAGAAATAAGCATGTGTCATTATTAGCACTGTCCAGGAGTGAAGAGTGTCTGGCCTTTATTCTATAATTCTCAAGAATATAATATGAGGATGTATTAGGTCAGGAAATGTTTGATATCAATAAAATAATATTTCTACTTTGAAAATAGCAAAATATTGACATATAAATATTTCCTTTTGGGCTTGGTGTGGTGCACAAGCCTTTAGTTCCAGCACCCAGGCGGTGGAGGCAGGGAGATGTTTGTGGTCTCTTTTCCAGCCTGGTCTACGTAGTGAGGACAGTAGCATGCCTGTGGTGCCAACTACTTAGGAACTCAAGGCAGAAGAATGATTTAGTTCAGGAGTTCCAGTTCAGTCTTGGCAACACAGTGACACTCCAGCTTACTGAAAAAGAAAATACAATCCTTTCCTTGACTCCAGTATTAAGTCTCCACAGCCCGTTCTCTTTATTTCTATGTTTGCCAGAATAGTAGGGTTGGGTTTTGTTGTTTTGTTTCTCTTTAGCTTTGGTTAATTCTATGCAATATTAAATCATTTTAACTTGATGTTTGGACCTGTTTATACAGCTCTACCAACTAACCTTGGAGACTATGCCTAAGTTGGGTACAATCTTGACTTCCCATTACCAGAAGATTCCAATTTGTTCCCATTTCCACACTACCTGTTGTAACCAATTTATTTTGAATTTGTTGGGATTTATGACTGTCTTTATTCTGTAAAACTATAAAATTTTATGAATCTGCTTCCATGTTCAAACATGTAATATAGAGTAGCTTAAATCTGTGTTCCAAAATAAACTATCTCATATTCCCTTTAGGATGAGAGTAATGGTCTTTGCATTGAGAAGTTGATGGAAGGTTCTTTAGCATTTCCTTGTATTACAAGGAGTATGCTAATCTGTTAAAATATACAGTCATACTATGATGGTCATTTAACTTCCATCTGATCAACATATTCAAGGTAAAGCCAAATAGGCCAGAAAAAGACAACTGCTTGCCAGCCCTTTCTTTGGAGATCTATTTATCACTGGAAAAGACCTTCTCAAACTTGCATAAGCCCACATTTTTTATATTTAAAGTGGTTTGTAACATTTACTTGAAGAAATTGTATTTTTATTTATACCCTGAGAGAAAGTAGTATAAATATTGTAAACCTTATAATGAAAAATCCAGATGGACTAGAAAGTGCTCCTTTTCTCATAATTACTAATTCTTAAATTA